ATGTCAGACTTCTTTGGTGTCTCCTTTTCAAAATATTATGTCTATATAAGGCAGGCAATATGATTTTATGGCACAAAAAGGAAATGGTTACTAGAGGGAAGCGAATTAGTGCAGCCTTCCCCATTTTTGCATGCTTCAGGGACAACATTGGTTCCTTCTTTGTTTGTACTTGCCTGCTCACCAGTAAACCCTCAGCAACAGGTGAGTGCTAGGTTGTAACTAGAGCTTTATCCATCAAAAGTCAGAGACAGTCCATTCTGTGCAAGACAGTTTCCTACTACAGTGTCTTAGAGTTTCATATTGCTGTGATAAAAACCATCACCAAAAACAACTTGGGAAGGGAAGGGCTTATTTCAGCTCACAAGTCTCTGGTTACTATTTTGCTGACAGAAGTCAGTATAGGAGCTTAAGGCAGGAGTGTGGAGGCAGGAACTGAAGCAGAGGCCATGGAGGATTGCTGCTTACTGGCTTACTCAGGCTGCTTTTTTGTACAGCTCGCTACCATCATCCCAGAGAAGGCACTACCCACAAAGGGAAATGCGCTCCTATACCAATCATTTACCAAGAAATAGTCCACAGATTTACCTACATTTTGTCAATTGAGAGTGTTTTCCAATTACTCTACCTTATATCAAATCCATCTAAAGTCAACTGACACACATAGAAAATATATCTAGCAAGAAGAAGAAATGCCAGAGGGATTAGGCTCTAGGGGCTGTATGGTAGTGAAATTGCTATGGGCTTTAACTGCTGTAGGCTGCTGCTTCCTTTCACTGTGCTAACCTGTATGGCTGGCTGGCTCACCAACAGAAGACACTGCACATAGGGATTCTGCTTTCCTTCTGTGCCTGACACTCTAGGAGGAGAGAGTAGAGAAGCCAAGATTCCACTTTACAGGACTGAGAGTGCTTGCAGCTGATCCATACTTGAGCCAGAGTATCAAGTCTGATACTCTTCAGGAAATTTGAAGTAGTTTAGGGTTCAAATTATATGAAAATATAGACAGGAGAAAAATAAAAGCCATTTGATGCATTCAACAGCTTAAGAATAAAATGTCTCCTGTAAACTTGTATTGGAAAACAAATTTCCCCATTTGAATTTACAGTGAGTACATCTGCAATATTCAGATTTAATCACAGGATTGTGTGGGAGAATGTGATTTCCATCATCCTCTTTATCTCCTAGCCAAAGTAATTTGGGGTCAAAGGAAAGATGATGTGATTAAGTACTTGAAATAGGGCAAAAAGAGGCTAATCATTCACTGACTGAATAACGATGAGCTAAATATTTTCTCTTTGGTATTTAGGCTATCTCACAGATATTAGCATTATAATGGAAAGGAAAGGGCATATAGATATTTAAAGTATAATAATTAAAGGGGAAATTAGCATCAGGACCAATTATCTCAGGCATGCAAGCCATCTTTGGCTTGAAATTGAAAAACATTTGAAATTATATGCAAAAATCTAAAGAAGAAATGGAGTCATGCCAAGATATACAGGAAAGTATTTGACAAAACTCAATATCCCTTCATGGTCAAATTCAATAAGCTAGAAAGAGCAGGCATTGTCCTTAACTTTAGAAAGTATATGTCCTAAAGAATCATGCTCACTGGGTGCTGAGGGTACAGTTTAGAGACCTTGGTCAAAGGACTTACAAATCTTACCTAGACAAGAGGGATTATATGGCAAAGGGACATAGCAATGTATTACGTTCTGGGAAATGACCAAGAGTAGATATTAAATATTTTACAGAAATAGTAAGTATATGAACTAATGTATAATATTAATCAGTCTAGCCACTGAGCAACATATTGTCTCAATAGGTCGTGCTGTAGCAAATCTATGCCTTTTTTCATTTTAAGATTTGTAAATACAGTGAACATGAGAATCTACAAGAAAAAAGGGATATTTTTATATTAAGGAAGAAATAGCATTATCTTTGTTCACTGTGACATGGCTTTGTAGAATATTTGAAAAAAAATTGACAAACCAAGATCCTTAAAGCAAACCCTACAGTTGAAGTAATACAGCAGGGTTGTAGGATACAAGGTCAATGGGTCGTGGAATCCTAAGTCTACAGCTCTATTACCTACCAGAGTGAAACTGATGAAATTTATCTTTGAAAATATAATACAATTTACATTAGCATCCTCAAATTGAAATACTTGGTATAAATATAACAAAATATGTAAAAAATAGTATCTAGAAGAAGGAAACCATTTAATTTTGGTGGAAGAATCCAGAAGGGTTGAGGACACCAAGGGAACAGCTCACAGACGTCAACTAAGTAAGGAAGGCTCCCAGGCACTCCCAGAGAGTGAAAAAGTAATCTTGGTACTACATGTCTCTATGCTAAGTCCTCTTCACCTTATGTTTTAGTGTTACCATGGTGTTTTTGTGGGACTCCTAATAGTGGGAGTAGGGGTGTCTTTACTCTCTGTCTGCTCTTGGAACCCTTTTCCTCCCATTGGGTTAACTTGCCCAGCCTTGATATGTTTGTGCCTAGTCTTCTTGTATCCTGTAATGCCATGTTTGATTTATATCCCTGGGAGGCCTGCACTTTTCTGAAAGAAACTGGATAGAGGAGTGGATGTTAGGGAGAGGAGAGCCCCACTGGGAAGAGAGGGGAGGGGCAGCAGTGGGAGAGGAAACTTTAGTGGGATGTATGAAAAAAAATTTTTTAAAAATAGAAAAAAAGATTCTAGCAGAAGAAACAAATTGAAGAGGTAAATCATGTTCATGGATAGAAAGCTTTGATTTGGTCAAAATGTAGTTCAACCCCAGTTGATATACATAGATCCAGTGCAATCCCAATTGGATTTTTTTAGTGTATTTGGTTCTTTGTCTCTGTTTTTGTTTTGTTTTATTTTGTTATATTTGGTTTTGGGGTTTTGTTTGTTTGTTTGTTTGGATTTTCTTAAAGTTTGTATAGAGAAAGAAGAGCTCCAGAACAGATAATATGAAAGTAGATGAACTAAGGGTACAGTTCCACCTCAAGTCAAAGTTTACAACTGTGAAAGTTCCTGGAAAGAACCATACCTTGCACTCAGCATTTTGCAAGGCTAATTAACTGATTAGACACTTAGCAAGGTGGACAGGTTAGAATGTTGCAAGTCCAGAGCCAGATTATACTGGGATAGTTTAAGCCTCCTTCATAGATAGCCCTTTATTGGGCTCTTCTGTATGTGATCTAACAACTTTGGAGCAATTATTAAATCCTGTGGAATGTACACACTTCCAGCCCTTCTTCCCAACCAAAGGGGTGAGGATATCATCAGCTGGCCTTGGAGTATGAGAGCTGCTTTTCTATGCCCCACCTGCCTGATGGTTCTATGTATTTTCAAAACATCTTGAGTTCTTAAATTTTTTTTGTTCTTCACTATAAAGGTACACAGAATTGCTATGATGCTAGAATGTGTAATCTGGGGATAACCCAAATCTGTATTCTTGAGCCTTGATCACTCATAGTTGGCTCTCTCTAAAATAAACTCTTATCTTCTTTGGGTTAAAAGATGTGCTTTAGTGTTGACTACAAATCTGTAAGAATCAGAAAGTGTGGTATTAGTCAAAGAATGGACAGACAAATGGAACAGTCTAGAAAATCCAGAAATGAACCCATAATGTTTAATCATTTGCTTGTTTAAATAGACTTATTTTATTTACTTTATCACTTGTGTGTATATGTGTATGCCACATGTGTGCTGGTTCTAGTAGGGGCCAGAAGAAGGAGTCAGGTCACATGGTCCTGGAAATGCAGACACTCTGAGCCTCCAGATACTAGTTCTGGGAATTCAATTTGGGTCTTGTAGAATGCTTTGTAATTGCTGAACCGTCTCACCAGCCCCTAGTCAACTGATCTTTGCAAAGGAGTTAGGGCTTTGGAACAAAGAGACTATTTTCAGTAAATGGTGTTAGAAAATCTTCACACCCATTTGCAAAAACAAACAAAAACAAACTAAATGCAAGTTGCTATGGTTTAACTGTGTCTTCTAGAATTTATCTGCTGGAAATCAAATCCCCATTCAACAAGCTAGGAGAGGTGACTCCTGACTATATGTAGGTCCTAAGAACTCCACCTCCATAATTGTACTGCCATTGTAAATGGGCCCTCTGGGTGAACTCTGCATATCTCTGCCCTTCTTCCATGTGATACCCAAACCTGCAGCAAGAGGGAAATTTACATATGACCAGGTGACATCACTTTTATCTCAAACACTCCTGCCTCCAGAACTACAGAAAATAAATCTCCATCATGTACAGAATGCCTGCTAGTACTCTGTTTCAGCACTGTGAAATCTGATAAGATACAAACCACATATCCTTCAAAAGGCTCAAAGATTTACCTATAAAATACAAACCAAAACATTGCAAAAGACAACACAAGAAAAAATTAATATGACCCAGGGTTTAATAATGACTGAACATGACACCAAAGGCAGAGCACATGAAAGGAAGAGTTCACATGAAAGCTGAGCCTCATTAAAGTTAAGAATGCTCTGCCATAGACATTGCTAAGAAAATAAAAAAGACAGGACATAGACAGGGGGACAATATATGTATGAGACACGGTTATTACAGGACTCTTACTTTAAACACACAAAGGATGTTTTAAAATAAAAACAAGAAAGCAACCTGACTGAAACTCAAATATATATTAGTGAAAAGAGCCAATATGGGAAGATGTCTGATACATGCTGCAAACTCTGTAGCATTTGGGGAAAGCAGACAACCTCCAAGAAGCCATGCTGCAGAGGCATGCTGGATAAAAGGAAACTGAATTTTCTACAGTTCTATTGTGAACTTGAAATGGTATACTAATTAACTCTGTTTCAAATATTAAAATATTATATAGTTTCAAAAATTAACTTACTACTTGCATGATTTTCAGTGTTCAATAGTGGGATTTTAACCGGTGTGATGACTTAAAATTGATTGTTTATCACTAAACACTCAAAGTCTGAAGACATTCTCATCTGGATGTTTGCTTTTAACTTCCAGGTCAGACGTTGCCATCCTGTACAATGACCGGTCAGTGCTTGAGAATCACCACGTCAGTGCAGCCTACAGACTTATGCAGGAAGAGGAAATGAATATTTTGGTAAATTTATCTAAAGATGACTGGAGGTGAGTTTCAGGGAAAACCCAAAGGAAACTGAACTCCAAGAACAATGTAAGTTATGCTGTTAACATGAGGAAGAGAAAGGAAGGCCCTAGGTCTTCCCTCGTTGGAGGAAGTGCTCTCAGGTTCTGTCCAGGCACCATCTCTGCTGCTGGATAGACAGGAACTAACTGCAGATCAATCTAATAGCCACACACATGTGTAAGGCCACATGTCACACTACAGATGACTAAGGGCACACAATTATTCAGCCTGTAGTGGAGCTTAGGTTGCTTTTGTTGCTTTTGTGATTGGTTGTGTTTCTGTTTGTTTTTTATGTAGTCTTACACAAATTCAAAATTTTAGTATCATGCACATTTTTCTCTTAGTATTTTGCTATAAATGGAACTTATTGTTAAAAAGATGAAAAACTTTCATCTGCTTGAGAAAAATTACAACTGTACTAAAATGACCCACAGTGAAGAGGAAAATATATGTCTCCCAGGAATAAAATGTGTAAAATTAACTTTCACTGTCTAGTCTTTGAGTTATCTTTTTTTTTCTTTCTCATAGGTAAGTCTTGTTATTTCTGTATGAATTTGTTAACTCTTTTTCTTTGCGATAATATTTTATGTGTCTCTTCATAAACTTTAGCCATCCTGATTGGACTTTTTTTTGTGTGATGTGTTAACAAATAGTACAATAATCACACAGACTGTAAAATTTAATACTAAGTTCAATGATTTCCAACTACCAACAAAATACCTATTTTCTAGTATAACAACAATAAAAGTTTGCTCAGCATTAAAATTTGGTTATCATGTTAAAGACCTGTAATTTTTCTACCCTCAAGTGTTTTTAGTATTTTTATTACAAATAAAAGCATTTCTTTTTTTTATAAAACACATCTCACATCTTAAGTTGTATTTCTCTTGTGTTATATTTCATGTACTCTATTACCATAACTTAGAATTTATTAAGTATTTAAATGGAAAGCATAGCATATTTAGTACATTGTGTAGATTATGGAAAATTTTTGTCTCAATTCTTTTATTTAACAAATATTGTGTCTAGTCATATTAATGCAAATTATGTTAAAATTTCATTGAAAAACTATAATTGAGAATAATTTTATTATCTACCTCAATTCCTATATTTCTTTGTAGACATGGTAAATTATTCTAAGCAGGTTGCCCAGTTTTATAAATGACAGCAGAATACTGAGGCTTTGTTACTTTTGTATAAAATAAGGTTGGACTGAGCACCGGCAATTTTCAAAAATAAATCTTAATATGTTGCTATTTTAAAAAATAAATATTCTATTATATAATATATTTGTGATGGTGGTGGGGTTGAGACACGGTTTCTCTCTGTAGCCCTGGCTGTTCTAGAACTTGCTTTGTAGACCAGGCTGGCCTCAAACTCAGAGATCTGCCTACCTCTGTCTCCCAAATGCTGAGATTAAAGGCACATGCCACTACTGCCTGGCTAAAAAATATTTGATTCAAGATCATATTCAAGTCAAAGGCTTGCCTTAACTCATAATACTGGCCTGTCAGTGAAAACAGAATATAATTGACTTCTTACCTGCATATAGAAGCCTTTGCTAGGGTGACTCAATTTTCTACTTAGAGTGAGAATCTGTTACTCTGTCATATGACCACTGCATTTACACAACAGCATCTTGCTTAAAAGTTTAAACAGTGCCAATGGGGTATGTCTATGTTACACAGGATTGGGTTCACAAAAGTATACCCTTTCACTAACATCTGGACTTCGCTGAGGTGCTTGTGGTGGGTGCTGAGCACTGTGGAATGACCTAAGGGCCAGCTTTTGAAATGGAAATTCTACTTGAATTTTATGCCAGTCACATCTTATCAGCATGATTGAGCAAATGAATTCTCCTCTGGAGGGAACTATTAAGAATCCTTTGCAGATCTACCATAGGAAATAGATATCTAGTGTACTGTCAAAGGAATTACTACATAGTTCTAAGTCCATAAGTAGACTGGATAAATAACTCTGATCCTATTAAAAATAGTTTTATTTAAAAGACATAAAATGAGAAAAGTGCCAGAAAGACCTTGAGAACTCATGTTTTTCCATGTCCCTTCCCTGGGGCATTAAGCCAAACTGTCTTGTTGGCCACATAAGTTTAGAATATTCTCCAGTGCCAGTGACTTCAAGTCTTACTTCTAAGGCATTCAAAATTGTATTTAGGAGCAAGAGTGATGCTCTTATGAGATCATATGCCAGACAAGTACAAGGACCTTGCTTGGTTCAATGTCCAGAACCTATGTGAAAATGTCAGATATGGCAGAACATGCTGGTAATCTCATTCTTGTAGAAGCAGAGACAAGGAGATCTCTGAGATTTGGTGGTAAGCCAGCCTAGCCTAATTGTCAAGCCCCAAGTCAGTGAAAACCCCAGTTTTTTTAAAAACTGCATTCAGTACCCCTGAGTTTGACTTCTAGTCTCCACATGAACATGCACACATGTGCATGCATATTTATATGCATATGTGCACACAGAGACACACATATAAACATGCTGTGTGTGTGTATGTATGTGTGTGTGTATGTATGTGTGTGTGTATGTATGTGTGTGTGTATATATGTGTGTGTGTGTGTGTGTGTGTGTGTGTATGATATTTAAAATGTCCAAGAATTTTTTAAGTAGAAAAAAATGATTTGGCAATTATGAGTTGGAAAGAAAACTGGCTTGTGAACAAAATACATCTCATTTTTAAGGAGGATATTAAGTGACACGACCTATTCAAATCATGAATGTCAATGATTAAAATAATGTCCAACTTCTGTGAACACTATTGCATTTAAAAGGTAGTGGCCCTGTGTTGATAATTGTTAAGAAAAACAGTATGATCACATCATAGAAATCTCTCTCTATAAGCTAAGGATGACTCAAATGAACCTTTCTCCCTTTGACGCCTCTACAGGGATCTTCGGAACTTAGTGATTGAAATGGTCTTAGCAACAGACATGTCAGGTCATTTCCAGCAAATTAAAAACATAAGAAATAGCTTGCAGCAGCCTGAAGGGTAGGTTATTTCCTTTTGCCATGTTGAAGTTTTGTGGGTTTAGGCTTAGAAAATGCTAGATGATTATTTTGTTCTGAGAATGTCTTTGGTTTGACAGGATTGACAGAGCCAAAACTATGTCCCTGATACTCCATGCAGCCGACATCAGCCACCCAGCCAAGACTTGGAATTTGCACTACAGGTGGACCATGGCCCTAATGGAGGAGTTTTTCCTGCAGGTGCATTTTTTACTCTGTTTTGGAAATAGCGACTGTGAATATTGACAAAACTTTTCTCAACAGAACCAGGGCCTCTGACTTATATTTCCATTTAGTCACCACACATAGTTAGGGTGCTTGGGGAAATCTACCAGGATTTGAGGTAAGTATATTAGATAATCCAAAATTATATTAAATGCCTTTTAAAAGAAATAATGTCTTAGATATGAGGATGTGGCAGTCAGGAAAAAATCAATAGAAAAGCAGGTTAAGAATACTATATTGCCAGGCAGTGGTGGTGCACACCTTTAATCCCAGCACTTGGGAGGCAGAGGCAGGCAGATTTCTGAGTTTGAGGCCAGCCCAGTCTACAGAGTGAGTTCCAGGACAGACAGGGCTTCACAGAGAAACCCTGTCTCAAAAAACAAACAAACAAACAAACAAAACCCAAAAGACAAACAAAAATCCAAACCAAAACAAAACAACAACAACAACAACAACAACAATTTACTAGGAGGTAAGTTTGAGAACATAAAAAACAAATAGCTTGCACAGTGAGAAGAGAGAGAGAGGATGGGGGGGGGGCGACAGGAGAGAAACTTCTATGTGTATCTTCCTGCTCAAAATTTACCTCCATACATAGCTGAAAAAGAGGCTGAGGAAAATGTAGCGGAGCAGACACCCACCTAACTGAATTGACAAATACAAGCCTGGAGGAGAGAAGACCCCTGTTCTCTGGTGTAGGCATTTCTTTACGAGCTATTTCCTGTGTAGTGTCCCTGTTCTGTCTAACATCGTATAAATGTGATGGTAATCATTCAAAGTTGGCTTCAAGTTCCACAAGTCAAAGGCTCCATCTTCCAAAAGATGGGCTCCACTTCAGACTTCAGACCCGAGTGGAGCCATAGGACATAGAAATGTTGATTTCTGACCAGCTGGTTACAAATTCAGTTCTTACGGTACTTTCTAGAGTTGTTGATTTGTTAGTCTATAGCTGGTACTATACTGACGATTAGAATTTTATCATAAAAAAATAAAAAATAAAAGAATTTTATCATAAAGGATGGAAGTCAGTAATGGCCAGATAAAGCACATAAGACACATGAGTGGCTCTGCTGTCTCTAGGCGGAGTTGGAACATGTCAGCTCCTGGATAAAGAATATAAACCTGAAACTTTCTCTGAACTTCAGTGTCCACAGTATTGTGAATCGTTATTATATAGGTGTGAAAAACTTAAATATTCTGAATTGAATGATCATAAAAACCCAACACGGGGCAAACTGCTGGGTGCAACTAAGCCTGTACTTAAAGGACTTTTTGTAGCATTATGTAATTTTTCTTATTTAAAAAGACCAAAAACATAAAACCACTGCTATGATTCTGTCTTTCAACTGCAGGTGAAATTTAAGAAAATGGCACTAAAATAAGTTGATAGGAGGAGGTAATAATTATAAAAACGAAATCAGTGGAAGAAAGCAAAGGGAAACAAGAGCCAAAACGAATAGAGACAAAAACTGACAGCCTGAATGAAACCACTTGCAAGATAAAAAGGAGGGAGAACTATACATAGAAGATGGATTAATATTACAGAGTTTACATATGTCAAAAGGGTACAAAAGGGTATGAACAGTTTATATGAATAATACTGATGACAAATAAAATTGCCTAAATCTTCGAGAAAGGTATAAATTATCAACCTAGCCATAAGACCAAGCTACAATGAATATTCATATACTTATGTTTTAATTGAATTTTTAATACAATTTCACATGAGACAACCCAGGATTTGGAGTAGTGAAATGGTCCAACAGTTAAGAGCACTGTCTGCTTTTCCAGAGCATGAGGATCTGGGTTCAGTTCTCAGCACCTACATGGCAACACACAATATCTATAACTCCTGTCCCAGAGTATCTGATATTCTCTTCTGGCCTTTGTCGGCATCAGACACACATGCAGTGCAAAGCCATACATGCTGTAAACAACCATATTCATAAAATTAATTAACTCTTTAAAAATGAAAACTTGGGATTAGATAGCTCCAATTTTTTAATTTTAATTTCAATTTCCATTATTTGATTCAGTTCAGAGACACCAATTTTCTTAAGAATTTTAAGACAGAAATAATAATTTCAAGACACAAAATTTTCATGATAGAGGAAGAAGAAAATTAGCTGTATATTGCTCATAAAACCTGACAAAGATATTTCAAATAACGGAAATTATAACTCATATCTGTCATGAATCTAGATGGGGGAACTCTTAAAATATTAGCAAGTCAAATCTATAATATTATAAAAGAATACATAGCATTACATGAGCATGCACGTCGAATATTTTTTAATTATACAAAACTATATTAAAAGAATAAAAGGGGAAAATCACATTGTCATATCAACAGATTCACAGAATGCATTTGACAAAATTCAACACTTTAGTCACACAAACTCCCAGCAAACTAATAAGGAAATGCTCCTCAGCTTAGTAAAGAATCAAAGGGTCATCGCTAATGTAATACTCCAAGGAGAAATGCAGAAAACTTTATGTATTTCTTTATGTTCTAAAACATAAGTTCTTTCAAAATTGATTCATAAGTTTGGGATTGTGTTCCAAAATTCTGATCCTACAATACAAGTGGAAATGGACGAATCTAAACTAGCCTTGGCAATTCTGTAAAAGACTAGAACGCTGGAGCATCCACTGTCCCAGATTACATAATTAGCATTTCATAATATAGAAATGACCAGACTGTCACTGGCACATAGACAAGGAATAGATCAATGCAATCTGATAGTGATTCCAGAAATGAGCCTACAAATGTCTCCTCATGTGATTTTCTTCATAAACACCAAAGCAAACAAGTTGGGAAAGACTTTCCACAATGTAAATACAACAATTATAAAATGGTGGGACAGTAAGCAAATCTATCCTTTCTTTAATGAGATTTTGTTCTTATTTATATGTATGTGTCCATGTGAATGTAAGGCATATATGTGTGGGTGCCCTTTGAGGCCAGTGGCTGACATCCGATCCCCCCTATTCTTAGCATTTCTTCACCTGGTATTCTTGTTTTAGATTTTTGATTGTTTGTTTTTGCTTTTCTTTTTTGTTTATGTTTGAGACAGTGTCTCACAGTGTAGCACATTCTGGCCTGGAACTCACTCTGTAACCCAAGTCGGCTTTGCGCTTTGGGTATTCTTTCTGCTTGCAGCCCCCAAGTACTGTCATTAAAGGCATGCACTAGTACATCCAGCTGCTCAACTGGTGTTGAGCAAAATTAGAAGATGAATGTAAACATGAAACATTAGAAAAGGAAGTTAAAAGAATGTTGAAACGTTGAGAATCTTTAGGAGTAATAACTCTCTCTCTCTCCCTCCTCTCTACCCCTCTCTCTCCCTCTCTCTCTCCTTCTCCCTCTTCCTCTCTCTCTTCCCCTTCTACCTATTGTGTGTGTGTGTGTGTGTGTGTGTGTGTGTGTTTGTGTTCATGCACTCACATGCATGCATGAGCAAATTTATAATAAAACAAACACAGATAAAATTTGGGCTGTGTTAACATCAAAGTTGATTTTGTGATACTTTGTGTGATACTTTGTTTAACACATTCACTATTTTCTGACAAATGCATAGGACTTTTTAAGCACACTGGGTTTGAAGGACAGAGTGAAAAGTAGTTCCTTATTCATCTGCCACAACTCAACCAGCTCTCTTCCTGTCTTTGGTTTGCTGACTCAAGTTCACCCTCTATCCAGGAAGATTGTGGCCAGAGGAGAATTCACAGTCCTGAGAAACACTGAAGGCTGGATAGGGCATCATCTTCAAGGCAGAAGCTACTCACACTTATCAGTGCATATAGTATCTTTTCTTTGAGTGTTTAACAAATCAACATAGGAGTTATTCAGTAGGATAAAGATATCTAGAAGATGTTCCATCTGATTCAACTGTGATTGACATAAAAGACAGAGGTACCAGCCAAAATGATAACCAATAGTAAAAGATTATATTCCTACCTCTTTTTCTCTTTTTGGACTCATACTAGTTGGCACAATGAGAAGTTAAAATAATTAAAATTAAGAATTACTACTTCCATTAGTTTGTTTTTCTCTATGGTTACAATAATGAATATTTTTCTCTTTTCAACTCATTATTGTATGACACATAGAAATGATTCTCAATTTAGTAAAGATCTACACCTGTTAAGCAACAGTTTCTTATATGTCAGAGAGAAACAAATGATTTGAAAAGTAGGTTATCCATAAGGAAAAGACACAGCGATGCTTTTTTTAACTCTAAATTGTATATTATCAAGAAATCCCTCTGTTTTCTTTACTATTGCTAGATGTTCTGTAAAGTATGGCATTTTAAAGTAAAATTTGTTTCTCACACTACTAAAAATGCACTCAGTCAATCCGTTTCAGACAAAGATCTGGGTGCCCATGAAGATTAAAGATATAACCTCCCAAATCAAATGAATATAAAGAACTATAGCTCAAAATGTTAAAAATCAAAGCCAGTTCTAAGAGTTGAGAAAGTGCTATAAACAGTAATAAGCCAAGTAATCCTAATGTTTGGTAAGATGATTACAGTAAAAAATACACAATTACATTCTACCATAAATGCAACTGAATATAGATATGGCATTCCTATAGCCATCAAACATATAGTCTTTTAGAGTGACTTTGTGAGAATTTCTGAGGGCCATTTTTAAAAGAAATAAAGGAAGGCAGCCACATGGCGGACATTCCTTATGCAAGATGTCCAGAGATGGCTGAATAGGTGCACCCTCCTGCTTCCATCTCAGCTTGTCTACAGAACCAGGAGGGCTCCCTCACCCCCTATCACTGGGGCCTCACAGTGGTCTGAATGTTAATTTATATGACTTTTAAGACTTACATCCAGATCTCAGTGCAAAAAGGTTCCCCAGACTTCTGTGCTTCATTATCTTCTTGGTTATTTTGTTTATTTAGCCATAGAAATTGCTTCAGTTGTAGTGAAATTTAAAGAAATAAAGCCTTGGATTGACACCTCGCTGATAGCTGTCAGAGCCTTTTACTCTGTTTGGAAAGCGGAAAAACAATTACTAGCTGTTTGTCACACCCATTCAAAGAAGAAACCTTGACAAGTTGGCTGGGAACTTTGAGATAGCTATGGGCTGTCAGACACTGAACACTCAACCCTCCTGGGGATTTTGATGGGACCACTTCTGCTGCCTCAGCACCTGTAGGCTCATGCCCAGACTAAGACCATCACAAAAGATCCACTGGGTAATTGAGTGTGGTATTTCCTCTTACCACTTCCATATGTCAATGTAAACACCAGGAAATATATTTATTAGATTTAATAAGCTGTTGATTCTAAAAACTATTTTTGGTCTCTTAAATAGAGTGTTTTCAACAGGATGTACAACTTTCAAGATAAATGTGAAGCATTTGTTATGTAGAATGCCCACAGTTTTGACCATTGATTTCATTTTAATAAGAAGTCAGTATCTCCTGCCTTAAGAGAATAAGGACCTTGTAAGATTGGTCAAGCTTCTCATAAGGTAACACAGTTTCCCTTTGTACATCTCTCCCCTCTCCGTGGTGTTCTATTCAGTTCTTTCATGGTCTGGTTCAGGGCCCCTGCTGCTGACCTGGTACCCATGGCCTTTATTCATTCCAAAAAATAAATAACACTTTGAAACATTTATAAGAAAATTGAATAATTAATGCATTTTAGCATCCTGTGCTTTTAGCAATAGGAATTTAATATTCTGAATTAATTGAAAGGTACAGGAAGCAGAAAAAACAACATAACCCTCCAACTCCAGCCACAGGAAGGCCAAATCTGCATGTCAGTGTCAAATGTTTAAGTCTTAGATGAAAATGTCTCAACTACTCCATGTCTTTAAAATGGAGCATACACAGAGCATAACATCAAGTTGCCTTTTTTAAACCCTAAATAATCCTTTTCACTCTTTCAAAGACCCATATAATATTGAAATAGAACTACTTAGTGATATCCTGTTGGGGTGTTCTTAAACTATAAATAGCAGATATTCCATCAATAACATCAGCCAAATGCAAATATTATACTGTCAGGCAAGGACAACTGTTATCTGTAAATACTAAATAAATATCTGTCTTTAGTATTGTTTTTCCCATTAAGGCTATCATCTGTCATTTCTATTTTAAACAATGACAGTGTCATTATATTTTAATTTAAACACTTAAGGATATTGTTATTCAGTAATGTCATCATTACTGATGACATTCTTGAACTGCATTATAAACATATGATAAAAATCATTTGTAGTGAGACATTTAATAAATCTTAGTCAATGAAAAGAAAGAGATTTCAAAATACTCATGCATATTTCACTTGAAAAAACAGTGGAACATAAAATCTTGCTTTTTAAAACTTCGTGAAGCAGAATCTAAAAAATGAGGATAAGTCCATAAACTTCGTGGTTAATTAACATCCCCAGAATGCACTGAAATGACTAATCCATAGGGACTTCGGAAAACTGAAATGTTTGTTTCTTCAAAGTCAATAGGTTGGGATACTACAAAGATATTTAGAGATGTATTAGCACTAGAAAATCCCTCCAAAAAACTATTCAAGATACATTATACAAGTTTAGACTTTAATGATATGAGGAAGTATGTAGGTATCACTGCTTTAAAAAGATGTGGTTGTTTTTAGTTACTCTATCTAGACTGCACATTTTCTTTTTTTTTAATCTGTTAAATTTTTTTTATTTGCTTGAAACTTCTCTAAAACACAAAGCCTATTAATATTGTTAAACACAGAAGTTTTGTATAAACCATTTCATAGCAGCATTCAAGGTAGAGTTTCTTTGAGTTTCTAAGAGAAAATATGTGTGAATGGAAAAGAATGGGAGTCTTTGGGGCTACTTTTGAATTCTGCTAGACATTGTCATTCTGGACATTGTTTTAGCTTAAGTTGTCTCCTTTTGACAGCATCCCTTCTTATCATATACTAAAGCTGATGTCTCCTATATTTCCAAATCAAGTCCATCCTTTATCTCCTGTATATTAACCTGAATCTCATCTACCGTCATGTTTCAGTGACTTTCTATATAATCGTAACCACAAAATTGGTCTTTCTACCATGTTGTCTGAAATCCACATGCTCCTGTGTAGTGAATGCACATTTTCTTAAATTCCCCATCTTGATTCTGGCTACTCATCTTTCTTTCCCCAGGGAGACAAAGAAGCTGAATTAGGGCTTCCATTTTCTCCACTTTGTGATCGGAAGTCAACGATGGTTGCCCAGTCTCAAATAGGTAATTTTGAAGAATGCTGGTCCTGAAAAGTGGGTGGGACATGTTGGTGTTCAAACGCATGTACTATGCTGTTCAAAGTCTTCCAGACCAACCTCACTCAACACTCAGGTTAAACTTTGACTTCAGGCTGATCTAGGTAATGCTGAAGGAGAATCAATGAAGTATTTTTACAAAATGAATTCAATAAAACTGCTACTGCTGGTCAAGGTTAGGTGGTTCTAGGTTCTTGTCTTCTTAACCAAGGAGTTAAAGTAAAAGCCCACACAAAAATTTTCAAGAATAACAAAACAATTTAATTAAAAGGAAAGTAATAGAAATGATCTCTATGAACAAGGACCCATGTTAGAGCCCAGAGTCTCTTTATGTGTTCTAAAGTAAGGAGAGACCAAGTTCTAAGGGGTATACTTGCAGCAGGTCTCTATTCTGATTGCTAAATTAGATCACATGGGCATTCTCCTACCATGTAGCCCACTTCCTAAAATGCTTCTGATTGAATAGAAACTATTCCAGCTTTGACTATTATTAGGGAAGTGGAATCCTATCGTTATCCTTAGAGGGGTATAGATGTAGCAGGATGCAGGTGGAAGTCTGTGGTTGTTAGATGCACTGTATGGAGAGGGGTATGTGTATGCACAGAACACACAGGGAGCTGGACTGCCAAGAGCAATATTGAGAAAAGGGATGCGTAACACAACCAGCTGAGTCCCAGGCTACTAAACTATCCCCTGTGCTTGCCTGTCTCTGATAGTATTCCAACAGCCAGCCTCCTCTTTACAGAACCATGTGATGTATGAATCTGTATCCCTTCTCCAGAGTTGGGCTCTGGTGTAGCTATTACAGAACTTTAGGACAGTGGGAAAGCTGTTGGCTATAACTTTTTCCCTTCCCAGCCAACTTCCAACAACTGTTCAGCCAATGAAACAGCATCGGGTGCTTATCACCATTCAGAAAGTGTGGATGTTGTAGACTCAGGATCCCATCTAGCAAGCTGGCTGACTCCCGGTGGTTAGTGGCTCTGATACACATTCCTCTTAGTGAGTAGAGGTGCTGAATTATTGGACAATCTACCTGCTCTAGAAAGTTTAAAGTCTGGGTGAACAATTAATTTTACTTTGAATTCAAGTATTAATTAAGATACAAAATTATAGTAGTTTTTTGTAAAATTTGAAATGTATCCCAACACATCCTTAGAGAAGTGTCAAGCATACAATACTTTAATTAATCATTCAATGGCTAATTTGCATGTTTGTATGTGTCACCTCCAGATTCTTCTATTCTTGTATGCAGACGTTAGTTTCTGTTCCCAGATGGGTTCAAGGCAAAGGCACCTAATAGTTCTTGGGACTGCAAGGTTTTTCAGTCTCAGAGCTTAAAAAGGTTATTGTTTTTAATCTCCTTTTACCTCACTACTAAGAGGCAAATGCATCCTGTGGACAAGGCTCTGCTGTTTGCCCGTCATTCTCCATCTTGATGAACACTTCAAATTTAAGTCATCACTCAATCCTGACATCTCAAAGTGGTGGGATTAGTGCTGTCGCCTGGAGATTGCAGTGTTCTCTCTGCTGGTTTGACAGCACACGCCCACACTTTGTGAACTAATGCTTTACATCCAGAGAATAATAAACAGCAATTTGAAATAAGAATGCCCTCACAGAGCACTATGATGCAGTAAAGAAAAAAAAAGTGGCTGTCCTCCTGTGGCCTGAAGGGTGGGGACCTTTAATTAGTTGGTCTTCTTATGGTTTAGATAGCGTTTTTTTTTTCCTAGTGTATAACATCCAACAACCAAAAACCAAATGAGGAACATTCATAAGGGTAATGGCCTCTCACTAAGAAGAAAAGACATTCCTGATCATTAGAACTGGCTCAATAGTTAGGAAAGCATAAGGGATAGAATATTGAATAGGAAAGACCATGTGCTTGAGGTAGGAAGTTTCGTTTCTCAGCTCTTACTACTGAATGCATTGTTACCCAAAGTAGCTGCCTCTGAAGATTGTTACTGTTCTCAGCTTAGCCAGTTCTGTAGTGAGCACTTGTTTTTTTCCACATGTGTCTCAGGAAGTCCTAACTGTGGCTTACCATATGGTTTATGAAATTGTGATACTTGATTGTATCTATCGTTCTGTGTGTTTTGCTTTTTTAGGTTTCATTGATTTCATAGTGGAGCCAACATTTTCTCTCCTGACAGACTCGACAGAGAAAATTGTTATTCCTCTTATAGAGGAAGCTTCAAATTCAGAGTCTTCTAACTATGGGGCAAGCAGGTATAATAGTTTACCCAATAATCTTTTACCCAATAATTATTCTTTTCCTCAAAAGTAGGCCAGCAGTTCTTGCAGTAATTATTAGGTAGTAGTGCCATCTAGTGTCTATATACTGTAGTGCACTCCCTTTGCAACTGATCATGGTTCAGAATAAATGAGAAGACAAAGGGTATGAGGTGGGAGAAGGAACTGGGAGAAATGAGTAGAAGCCAAACCAAAATCAGAGTGCACTAGCTGAAAAAGAGTCTGTTTAATTTTTTTTAAAAAAAGAGAGAGGAAATAAATGAAGCATGTTGGACAGTCTCTGCCTGGGAAAGAGAATATGAGGGGTAAGCACCTGCCAGGTTACATGTGGGCCCATGTGACTGTTGTCCAACACCTGCAGGTCTCTATAAACCTGTCTTGTATGGTATCTTGACTTAGTTGTCTTTTGATTTCTTTGGTTGACAATGGTAGTTCATCCACCATGATTGGGTTCCATGTTGTTGACTCTCTGAGGCGGTCAAACACAAAAAGCTCCATGAGTGATGGGAGCTGTACCCAAGACTACTCTCTGTCAGCTGTGGACCTGAAGAGTTTCAAAAACAACCTGGTGGACATCATTCAGCAGAATAAAGAGAGGTGGAAAGAGTTGGCTGCCCAAGGTACAGTTGTTGATGATGCTACCATTAATGAGTCTTTAATTCCTTAATAATTTTCACTGTCTTCCACTTGGTGTGCATCTTTTATAAAATATACAAACTATTGCTAGTTATTGAAATTTGACCACTCATGAGACAGCTGGTCCCGTTGCCAGCTAAGAAAGGATATTGCTATTCATGTCACCTGAGCTGCAGATGTGTGTGCTGATGGATGGTGGCCATGCAGATGTGCAATAAGGGACAATAACATGATGACAAACTGTAAGAACCCCTGTGCTTTGTCAATGGTGCTTTCAAGCCTGTTCTAGCACCAAGAAAGGCCACTAGCTCTTGCTGTATCTACCTGAGTGTCTAGTATTTTAGTTAAAAATAAAAGTTTGGGGCTGGAGAAATGGCTCTGTAGTTAAGAGTACTTGCTGCTTTTGCTGAGGACCCATGTTTTTTTTTTTTTTCCAAACACCCATGATAAACAGCTCATCACAGCCTATAACTCCAGCTCCAGGATCCAGTGATCTCTCTTGGCCTCTGTAAACATCTGCAGAAATACTGATTTCACTTGGCCTCTGTAGACATCTGCAGAAATACTGACCTCTCTTGGCTTTTGTAGACATCTCCAGATACGTGTGCGTGCACACACACACACACACACACACAGAGAGAGAGAGAGAGAAACACATGCATACACATAATTTCAGTAAATAATTTTGAATGAATAAAAGCATTCTGAATTATTGGGTATCCAGAGTAGAAACTACTGTGTGAATTGGTTGTTACAGGTACGGTGGTTGCGTAATGAGAGGGAACTGAGTAGACCTGCTTCAGTCTTCAGGAAGGCCTGCGATGCTAAACATGAGCAGGAGTGTACTTTGAAATAGGGATGAGAAGAAAGCCTTCACTAAGGAAGTGATGATGCAGATAAATAGGAGAAGGGATGAAAAAGAGGGCTAGGGAGCAGCCTGGCGTGGATGATCAAACCTTTTCAGACACATGCACGGAATGGCTGTGTACAGACTAGGAGGCGGAGCTTGCTTCCCACACAAGAAACAAGGAAGCCTGTGGAAACGGGAGACGGTAGGCATGGAAACTCTGCAGGAATGGTATGGGGGAATGTGGTGACCACAACATTTGTTTGGTCCCTCAAAAGGAAAGACAAATGTAGGGTTGTCTCTCAGATGATTTAGCAATGGTTTCTCTGACTACATATCAGAAGATATTATTTTGTTTGGGTTTCAAACCTGTCACCCAGGATCAGAAAAGAGGCAGTTATCTGCCACCTAGGAGAAAGATGAAAGTGTAGACTGAACTCCAAACTGTGAAACAGTAGAGGGAGGCTTGAAGCAGTATGTGTGCAACAGCATGAGCCAGAAGTTAGACTTTAGATGTTTGAAAGGAGATTTTCTATGCATATTGTGCTGGTTTCAATATGCTTAGTCTAGGGATTGGCACTAGTAAGAAGTGTGGACTTGTTGGAGTAGGTGTGGCCTTGTTGGAGGAAGTGTGTCACTGTGGGGGTGGGCTTGGAGAGAGCTTCTTCCTAGCTCACTGAGGATGCTAGTCCTAGCTGCAGTCAGATCAAGACGTAGAACTCTCAGCTCCTCCTGCATCATGTCTGCCTGTATTCTGCATGCTTCCTGTCTTGATGATAATGGACTGATCCTCTAAACTTGCAGGCCAGCCCCAATTAAATGATGTTCCTTATACAAGTTGCCTTGGTCATGGTGTCTCTTCACAGCAATGGAAACTCTAAGACACATATTTATAAAATGCATAGATGCTAAATATAATCATGATACCGAGTATACATAAATATATGTGTATGCCTATATATGTATGTGTATATATCATTGTACCACATGCCTTTAAACATTTTAAACTCTATACCCACCCTTGTATCAAATCCTATCTGTTCTCCTTCCAAACAGTTTTAGATCTGATCTCTTTTTGCTCATTCTCTGGCATGCGTGGAATCTATATGTGTGTATATATCATATATACATAATTGTATGTTGTCTTTTCTATTGCTATGACTAAACACTATCATTGAGACAACTTATAAAAGAAAGTTTTGATTTGGTTTATAGTTCCAGAGGTTAAAGTTCACAGTGGTGAAGCAAAGGAACAGCTGAAAGCTCACACCTTGATCTATAACCTTAGACATAGAGAGGACACTGGGAATTGTGTGGGCTTTTGAAACTTTAAAGTTCATCCAGGAAGACATCTATTTCAACAAGGCTACACCTCCTAATCCTTCCTAAACAGGTTCACCAACATGGGACCAAGTATATGAGCCATTCTTACTTCATTGTACCACACATGGCATTTACTGTCATGATAATACTTTATACATGCTTTTATAATTATACATATAATTATCTTGTATGAATATATTTCATAATAACAAATGAAAACATGATCTGCTACAAAAAGATGCCTACTCTAAAGTCAGTGATTGTCAGCTTATTTGGTCATGGTAATCTGTTATGGACCACTCCCAACCTTCAGTCCCTTAAGTGAGAGCATCTTTTTTTATCTCAGATGGGATGACAACATGAAGGTGATCCAGTGTCTACTGAAGCTATATGAGGATCCCAGAGGTGTTACCTCAATCTCAGCATTCCTCAGAACCTAGCTCATCTTCAGATCTGCAGAGCATCCCACTAATCCTTATCAGGGGAAAGGTGTAAATCCTTTGGTTCCACTATGTGAAGCTCACTGTAACAAAGTGAGTTAGTAGTTAAAACGTCCCTTAAAAGAACACTTTCATCCAGGAAGCCTTCTCCTAGGGAGCTGAACATAATCTGTCTAGAATTGATGTATGTAGATTTTGTTTTGATATTAGGCCTTAAAATATACAAAAGCTTTCTAATATCCCAGAATGTCCAGTTTGAGTTAGATTTATTCATCTAGGCTGAAGAATATGTCCCTACCATCAGTCTGTTATTTCTTAGTGTCTTGTGTCTCTATCTTTTCTACATTATTCATGAGATGTCAGAGCAATATGCTACTATTCTTGTAGTGAGGTGGGCATTTGAAAACAGCAAGAAGAGTATGTGTGAATTTTGTATCTGCTACCTTGCTAAATATGTTTGTCAGAGGTACGAGGAGAGGTACTATCCTTAAAGTGTACAATCATATTGACTTCTTCCTGTCCTAATTGTATTGCCTTTATCTCTCCATGTCTAACAACTCTAGCTGAGATTATATTTAACAGGAGTGAAGAAAGTGGAAATTCTTGTCTTATTTCTAATTTTACTGGAAATATTTCAAGTTTTACTTCATTGAACATAATGTTGGCTCAAGGCTTGCAGTGTATTACTTTTTTTGTGCAGTGATATATTTCTGTATCCAGAGGTCATCCAGGACTTTTGTCATGAAGGTTTATTGGATATACCAGAAGGCCTTTTCTGAATATAATGTGATGATCATATTGTTTCTGTCTTTGAGATTATATTTACTGATTTGTACATGTTGAAATATCCTGCATCTCTGAGATGAAGCTAGTTTCACTTCGATAGATAGTATTTTTGATGTGTTCTTGAATTTGGATTAATTACACTTTGTTGAGTTTAGCTTCCATGTTTATCAGGGATATTGACCTATACTTTTATTTTTATTTATATTCTTGTCTGGTTTATGTTTAAGTGTACTACTGGTTTCATAAAAACAAACAAAAGCAAACACAGACAGACAAACAAAAAAAACTCTTTGTATTTCTCTTCTATGAAATAGTTTGAGAGTCAGTAGCTTTAATTCTTCTTTAAGGAGATTCTACACAAAGGCTTCACGCAATATAATGTACATTTTTCTACTTGGTGAAACCAACCAATGGATGCCAAAAGGAAAGATAAATACATGGAATGTTTCCTAGTATCTTTTATATCTGAATTTGTGTGCTTTCTGACATTGCAAGGATAGTTTTTTTCTCTGACTTTGCATTATGAATATGAATAATAGCTACAAGACTTTATAGCAGTTTATGTACCCTCAGAAAATAGTTGAGTTAGAATGTGGCAGTAGACAAGGTGGCAATGAGGAAGAGATAGGCAGGTTAGGTGCTGCAATGTTGATCCCATATTAGTGAAGTCATATGACCTCAGTGACTAGACCATTTACAAGAACATTGAAGTTTGTTAACATTGTTAAAGAACTCTACACACGACACACAACTACACATACACACATGCATATGTGTTTACATTTATGAGTGCATGTATATACATGTATTCTCATTTCTGCTCTCCAAGCTCAACATTCCCTGTTTAATTTTGTTCCCCCTCTGTTTCAAACGTTCTTTATTAATCAGGGCAATATAGTACTGGCCTCAATTTTAATTCATATAGGAAAAGAAACCCTGTTTCCAACAAGTCCTTGCTACCATTCAGCAATGAGTTCATGAGTAGATTAGTGTTTGGCCAATTATTGAAATGCTCTCAATAGACTGATCCATGTATAACATTAGAATCTTTGTGAGCCAATGATCTCTCAAAAGCCCATCTCCAGTCAGTCCAGCTTTTTGGTGAATTCTTAATATCAAAATCATTCACTCATTAATCCTTATATTTTAAGGTACACAGTAAGCCCTGTCATGTGCTAGAAATATGCTCCAATTCCATAAGGCCATGTATGAAAATCATATCTAGCTCTAAATCCTTTGCATAATATTTTATTCTATGGGTTCATACTTATCAGGCATTTTAAATTTGTCTAATTTGTGTGTATGGACATTTTGCTGCACATATGCCTGTGCACTATATGTGTCCCTTGTGTTTTTGGAGGGCTTTGGGTCCCATCAAACTTGAATTACAGATAATTATGAGCCACCAATGTGGGTGCAAGAAATTGAACCTGGGTCCTCCAGAAGAGCAACCAGTGCTCTTAGAAGCTGGACCATCACTCTAGCCTCTTAGTATACATTTTGATATATAAATTAAGCAGAGAAAATAATGAAAACATGATAATCATATGCTAAAATAGAACTCTATAACAATACATTATAATGAAAA